GGAGGAGGAGGGAAGAAAAAGGGAGGGGGGATGGCATCCCTTCCTTGTTCGGCCTTCGGGGCGGGGGGCAAGAGTGGGTGGGGTGGGGGGAAGCAGCCAATGGTGCTTGGGCGGTCGGGGGGGCGGGTTGGACTAGATGACCGACGGGTATCCCTTCTGCCTCTTCTCTCTTGTATTGAATGCCGGAGTTAAGCCAGCATTCGGGGCTTGTATGTTGGCCAGGCAGTAACGCCGAGGGGGAAAGTGGGGGTTGTGGGGGGAGGAGGTCAGGCCCCTTCCCCCCCCCACCAGGAATGGGACCTCGGAGATCATCCAGCTTGTCTTGAACGGTTAGGGAACGGGGAAGGGGGGAGAATGGTGGCGGCTTTGGCTGTATCATACAGGGGGGGTAAAGGGCAGGGAGAAAGGGGGGTTTGCCCAGGGCTGAGGGGCCCCCAGAAGTGGGACCATCTGGATGTCCACAGGATACACCCCACCCACCCATTCCCGATCCACACAGCGGCCCAAATCGGTGCGAAAGGACCGGGGCTGCCATCTTGGGCTTTAGCGGACGGTTGGGGGAACCCTGCGGCATCCACCCATTGGCTGGCGTTTCCCCTCCCGCTTCCGGGGCTCGGCTGGAGAACCTCTGGGTGCCCCCCTGCCCCGTTGAGGACTAGAATCCCCCCCCCAAAGCCGCCGTTCTCCGAAATCTGGGCCTTCCTGGGAGGTTTTTCTTCCCCCCTTTTTTTCCAGCCGTCGCTAAGAGGGGCGGGGGATGCACGAAAAGTCCTGGTTTCTTCTCAGTCCTCCCCCTTCCTCTCGCAGGGGATTGTGGGTAACCTGTCCAGTGGGAAGTCGGCCTTGGTGCACCGCTATCTCACCGGCACCTACGTGCAGGAGGAGTCCCCGGAAGGTCAGTGACGGCACCTGCGGGGCGGGCGGGGCGGGGGGAAATCGGGAAGACCCCCCGGGCCTTTGGGGGTGGTGGTTCAAAGATGGTGCTGACGAGAAAGGATGCGGCGATGAGTCGGACCAGACGCCAAACACGGCGCTGACAAGGAAGGACGCAGCGACGAGTTGCCCGAGACGCCAAACACGGTGCTGACAAGGAACGACCCGGTGTCTCAGGTGACTCGCTGCAGTGTCCTTCCTCGTCAGCACCATGTTTCGCGCGACGAGTTGCCCGTCAGCAAGTCGCCCGTCAATGAGTAGCCCGAGACGCCAAACACGGCGCTGGCAAGGAAGGACGTGGCGCCGAGTCGCCCTGTGGCCGTTCCTCCCGAGTTGAGCCCGGTCCCATCACTCTTTCCCTGTTCGTCGGGCAGCCTGGCACTTGCGCAAACGGCCTCCGCCTGCTCCTCTTCCCCGCTTGTATCTCCGAAGGCAGCCGAAGACGGTCGGGACGTCCTGTTGTCTCCGCTCGCCGCCGGCCGGCCGCGACTCCCGCCCTTCCGTCCTCACCGCGTCTCCTTTCTTTTGGGGAGGGGAGTGTTTGTATCGGGAGAGAAACCACACACGCCCCTCCACCGGCTTTTGGGCTGACCTGGGCAGAGGTTCCTCCCCGCTTTTTGGGGGGGAGGGGATTCCCGAAACTCCGCGGACCTTTCGGTGGATCGACGAGCCGTTTTGCGTGGGTTCGGTGAGGGGAGGAGAGGCGGGAAAAGCCCGAACTCTCAGGTTGCCCGTCTGTCCTCGTACGTCCCAAGCCGGGCGGAGAGGGGGGTCCCCTAAGTTCTCCCCCTCCTCCTCCTCCTGGCACTGTGTTGCCGGCAAACCGGATCCGGCACAACTCACTCTCTCCGTCTCCGTCACCAGGCGGCCGATTCAAGAAGGAGATTGTGGTCGACGGGCAGAGTTACCTGTTGCTGATTCGCGATGAAGGCGGACCCCCCGAATTGCAGGTAAGCACCTGTCCCTCGCCGCTGTCCGTCTGTCCGTCCGTCCCTCCTCCGCGTCGGTTTCCCCCGGCGCAACAGGGCTCAGCCACCACGCGGACGCTATCGGCTGCCGTCATTCCTCCCCCCTCCCTCCGTCGGTTTCCCCCAGTAGGACGGGGCTCAGCCGCCAAGCAGACGCTCTCGGCCGCTGTCATTCATCCCCCTCGTCCGCGTCGATTTCCCCTGGCACAACGGGGCTCAGCTGCCAAGCGGACGCGCTCTTGGCGGCTTACGGCGCTTGCCGGCGCCCGTCGCTGAGTCCTCTGCCTTTCGTCCCGCTCTCCAGTTTGCCGCCTGGGTGGACGCGGTGGTCTTCGTCTTCAGCTTGGAGGACGAGATCAGCTTTCAGACCGTCTACAACTACTACCTGCGCCTCTGCAGTTACCGCAACACCATGGAGGTGCCCATGGTCCTCGTCGGCACCCAAGGTAGGCCCAGCCGACTCGAAACAACGACCGCCATTCAGACCCGGGACGGAGGGGCGCGGGCGGAACGAGAGGACTTGAAACCAGGGTTGGGGAATGCACCGGAAAAAAAATAGCGCAGCCACCGCTCGACGGACCTTTGCCCGGCTGGACAACGCCAGGTGGAAGGTGCCGGAGAGCCGTTTTGGTTGGCTTCCGTCTTAGCGACGGCTGACGCTTCGCTCGGGACTCCGGGAGGTTGGGAAGAGGCCCGGTACCAGGACTTTGGGTCCGGCCCGGTTTTTTTGGGCGGGATCCGGCACTGACCTGACTCCGAATGGGACAGCGGTAAGACACCGGGGAGGGTGGGAGGTGATTTGGTTCGAGTTTGCGGCCAATTGTCCACGTAGCCACCAGACGTAAAAAAGGTAGCAACCAGGTCGTACGAACCGGTGTAAAACCGCTCCGATGACTTAAAAGGCGGCCCAGTGGATAGCGACCACCGTGGTTGTAACTGGACATAAAAAGGGAGCGACCGGGTCGTACGAACCGGTGTGAAACCGCTCCGATCCACGCGGTGGAGAGCGACCACCGTGGTTGCAACTGGACGTAAAAAGGGAGCGACTGGGTTGTTCAAACTGATGTGAAACCGCTCCGATGCTTTCAAAGGCCGCGCGGTGGAGAGCGACCACCATGGTTTCCGCCCGCCATTTTTCCTCCTCCTCCTCGGGGTGGGCGGAGCCCGTTGTAAACATAGCAACCGGATGTAAAAATGTAGCAACCAGATTGTTCGAACCGATGTGAACCGCTCCGATGCCTTAAAATGCCAGCCGGTGGAGAGCAAACACCGTGGTTCCCGCCCGCCATTTGTTGTTCTCTTCCTCCTCCTCTTCCTCCAGACGCCATTAGCGCCACCAACCCCCGGGTGATCGACGACTCCCGCGCCCGCAAGCTCTCCAACGACCTGAAGCGTTGTACCTACTATGAGACGTGCGCTACCTACGGGCTGAATGTGGAGCGCGTCTTCCAGGACGGTACGACGGTGATGGCGACGATGGCGGGAAGGAGGGGAGGAGAGGAAGAAAGGGGGGGAGGGGAATCCTTGTCACCGGCGGGCCGGGACACCCCAGTCTCAACGCCCTCCCCCCCCC